AACCCATAAAAAAAAAAAAAAAAAAAAAAAAAAAAATCTATCAACTTGTAATTCTATACCCAGTGAAAATATCTTTCAGAAATGGCAAGAGTGGCTGGGCATGGTAGACACCTCTGTGATCCCAGCATTCGGGAGGCTGAGGCAGGAGGATTGCTGTGAGTTCAAGGCCAGCCTGAACTACATAGTGAGACCCTGTCTAAAATAAGCAGAAAAATAGGGCCAGGGATTTAGCTCAGTGGTGCCTCAAAAGCACAAGGTCCCAAGTTCAATACCAGTACCAAAAAATAAATAAATAAATAAAAAGAAATGGTAAAAGTGATATCAGAAAAATGGCAGAGCAATCAGCTCTAGACTCATCCTTTCACAGAAATTTTTTTTTTTTTTGGTACCGGGGATCAAACTCGGGTTCTTGCGCTTGCAAGGCAGGCAGCAGAACCACTTGAGCTAAATCCCCGGCCCTCACAGAAATAACCTGTAATCTCAGCACTTCAAAGGCTGAGGCAGGAGGATCACCATGAGTTCAAGGTCAGTTTGGGGTGCATAGTGGCTTCAAGGCTAGCCAGAACTACATAGTGCGATTCTGTCTCAAAGCAAATGAAAAGGCCAGGGATGTAGCTCAGTGGCGCCATGCCTGCACCTGCCTGGCAAGCACAAGGTCCTGCGTTCAATCCTTGGTATTGGAAAAAAATAAAGTGAATGAAAACATTAATTATAAGAACTATTTTTTTAATTACATAATACAAAAAATACATAATTTTACAGCAATCAACTGAGCACAAGAAAAAAGTTACTTAAAAATTATAGGCAGCCAAGCATGGTGGTGCATGTCTCTAATCCCAGCACTCAGGAAGCTGAGGCAGGAGGATTGCTATGAGCTCAAGGCCATCCTGAGCAATGTAGTGATTTCAAAGCCTGGCTGAACTACATGGTGAGACCCTGTCTCAAGTCACCCCCCCAAAAAAAGACAGGAAAGTGTTTTACCTCTTCCTAATTCTGCAGTAGTCGAGACAGTGTCCCTGTGTGATGCTCTGGTTTCTGGTTCTGGAGGGAGCATAATAGACCTCTTTTACAGACGACTGCTGTCTGGAAGATTGACCTATGGTGTACAGCTCAGTTCCCTGTAACTCATCGTGCTCAAAAGAGAAAGGCAGTGGGTGTTGCTCAAAAACACTGTGAAGAAGAGAAAAAAAAAAAAACAAAAAAAACTGTGAAGAAAGTTTAAAAATTTGCAGCCACCTTAAGCAAAGATTAAAATTGAGATGTGCAGTAGAGTGTCTGAGACCCAGGAGGAAAGCCCAGGATAGGTTCTTGGGAATTAGAACTCCTCACACACTTGCTGGTGGAAACGTGAACTGGAGTAGCTGGGCCTGGGAATGCAGTCTACAATCCCAGCACCCTGGAGGCTGAGAAAGAGTGCAGGTTCCTGAGTCCCGGGCCAGCTTGGGCTACTCCGAAAGACTCTGTCTCGGGAAAAGAAGAGAGGAAAGGAAGAATGGTCTGATGTTTCCTTAAAAAGTTAATCAAAACCAGGTGCAGTGATGCAGACCTGTAATCCTAGCTCCACGGGAAGCTGAGGCAGGAGAACTGCAAGTTCACGTTGCATCTGGGTTACTTAGTGAGACTGTTCCAAAATAAAAAAAGACTAGGGATGTAACTCAATGGTAGAGCACCCCTGGGTTTGATCTCCAGCGTATCACCAAGAAAAGAAATGTTACAGAATTACCACACGTCCCATCAATTTCAATTCCACATATAGAGCCAAAAGAAATGAAAGTAGAGTCAGATGCTAGTATGTTTGTAGCAACATAGTCACAGTAGCCAAAGAGTAGAAACAACCCCAGTGCCTGTCAATCTGGGTTTGATCTCCAGCGTATCACCAAGAAAAGAAATGTTACAGAATTACCACACGTCCCATCAATTTCAATTCCACGTATAGAGTCAAAAGAAATGAAAGTAGAGTCAGATGCTAGTATGTTTGTAGCAACATTAGTCACAGGAGCCAAAGAGTAGAAACAACCCCAGTGCCTGTCAACAGGTAAGCAGATAAACAAAATATACACAGAGAGGAACATTATGCAACCATAAAAGGAAATCAGATTTGACGCCTGCTAGCTACAGTATGGAGGGACTCTGAGGACTTATGTCAGAAAAAATAAGCCAGGCACCACAATATAATATTTTATGATTCCGGCCAGGGATTTAGCTCAGTGGTTCTGCCGCCTGCCTCGCAAGTACAAGGATCTGAGTTCAATCCCTGTACCAAAAAATAATATTTTACAACTCCACTTACATGAAATGTCCAGACTGGGTGGTTCATAGAGACAGGAAGTAGGCTGGGTCACTAGAGGCTGGGATGAGGAGTCAGGAGCTGTTTGCTTAATGGTTGCAGAGTTTCTTTTTAGGGTGATGGAAATCCTGGGAAATACATTGATGATGTATACACACACAAAGGTGTTTACTGCTGCTGACTATACTGTGCATGGTTAGAATGGCGAGTTGTGTGTGCATGTATCAATAAAAACAGTATGAAAAGTGAACTGTTCACCATGAGGAATCTCCAAAAATGAAATAAGTGCCGGGTGTGGTGGTGCACGCCTGTAATCCCAGCACTTGGGAGGCTGAGGCAGGAGGATCACTGTGAGTTCGAGACCAGCCTGGGCTACATAGTGAGTTCCAGGTCAGACTCAACTACATAGTGAGACCCTGTCTCAAAAAACAAAAATGAAATAAGTACTTTTTAAGATATATAAAAGCTGAAAGAATGAATCTGTGGTAGACCCTAACTACAAGAATATTAAGGAAGTGCTTCAGACAGAAGAAAAATACCAGATGAAATTATGTTCAGATCTCTGCTCTTGTAAACTAGATAGGTAACTGTGAGATTTGGCGGCTTTTCTGTCTATCTGTTGGTTTGTTGGTACTGGGACTCAAACCCAGGCCCTCATGCATGCTGGGCACACACTGTACCATTGAACTAAAATGAATAGCATGCAGGCCGGGGGAGAAGTGGATGCATGTAATATTGTGTAGAGAAAGTGGTTTGGCACCTGAAGATGGAAACCAGTGAGGTCGTGAAGCATCTTCTATCACACAAAACATATACCCACAGATACTGCCCCAAAATGTCAAGTGGAAAATTAGGACCCAAAAGTAACTAACAGAATAAAACAAAAAGTTATACATAGTAGACCATAAAAGGGATGAAAAAGAAATAAGAAAATTCTCAGTCATGCACTAACCTAAAATCAAAATAGATCAAAGATTTAAATAGTAAAACAGAAACAGTAAACCTGCTGGAACAGAGACTAGGTGGAACACTTGAAGATACAGGAGTAGGCAAAGACTTCATGAACAAGACCCAGACCGTATGGGAAATACTGCAAAGAGTCAACATCTGGGACTTCATCTCCAAAAAATTTTTGTGTGGCTGGGGATTTAGCTCAGTGGCACCACACCTGCCTCAGAAGCACAAGGTCGTGAGTTTGATGCTAAAAAAAAAAAAAAAAAAAAAAAAAAGTTTGGCAAAGAAAGAGACAGTAAGTACTAACAGTGAAGAGACAATCCATAGTGTGGGAAAATTTTTTACCAGCTCTTCAGACAAAGGTCTACTATCTAGAATATATAAAGAACCAAAAAAATCAGACCCCCCCCCAAATTTAAAGACCCAATCCAAAAATAGGCATCTGAAATGAACAGACATTTCTCAAAGAAGAAACAGCACATAAACATGAAAAAAAAATGTTCAGCATAACTGATTATCCAAGAGATGCAAATGAAAACTGAGATTCC